GGCATTCTTTCCGATGCTCTCTCTCTCAATCTAAGCTTATAACTTCATCTTTATAGTCTGTAACATAGATTAATAATTATACCCCAATTTCTGCAAATTTTATATATTACGTGCAATAAAATATACGGGGAATTCGCTCGCTTGACCATCCTTGAACGCTTCTGCTGGAGAAAGAACTCTCCTTAAAAATAATTAAACTATCTGAGAGATTATTATCCGGCGCGTCGATATATACCGACAAATCGTATGCAACTCGACAAAGTCACAGATGGTTTAAACAAAAAACGCCTTTTTCAAAATGTGCGCTTGTAAAATAAATGTTCGTTCGATCCGAAAAATTTCTCCGGGAGTAGCATCGGCGATACGACGTGCGTGCCGTGCGCGATCCCGCGAACCCAGGCCGAGTGTCGTGGGCGTGAACAACTCGCGCGGTCACCTTTGTGGGACACTGGTTAGTGCCGCGAGGGACGTGTAATTACGGCGGAGCTCTCCCCGCGCGAAACGAGATGGCGAACCGGCCGAGAGAGAGAGAGAGAGAGAGAGAGAGTGAGTGAGAAGGAGAGAGAAAGAGAGAGAGAGAGAGATGGAGAGAGGTGCTTTAATTAATGCAACGATGGAAGCTAATTATTATTTTTACACGGCCAGGAGATAATTACCGGCCGACCGTTCCCGAACGGCGAGTTCGTTGACGGTGTTGCGAGGCAAGAAGACGATCGGCTCGACACCGAGGAAGGAACGAACATTTCGGAGCGCTATACGAGCCTATAAGATACATAGGGACTGCCGGGGAATAGGGAGGGAGGGGACGAAGTTATAGAATTAGCCGGACTTGCATCGCAGCCTTGTTAACACTTTTTGCGGTGACCCCGTGCTCGTCCCGCATTTCTACCATCGGCCCCCTCGCGGTTTTCGCTTTTTGCGAAGAGGGTGTGGTATTGGATTACCATTTAGATTGTTGTTCGCGCGCGCGGGCCGATATCTTCTCACAGCCCGCGTGACAAACCTACCCTCATCGAGGATGATCGCGTAGCGGGTTTCAAGAGCACGCGACCGATGATTCAGCTCTCCGAGCTACGGATTGACGCGAATCTAATCGGATACGTGATATCTTCGCTTACTTGATATTTTCGCCATTCTTTCGCGAAATGAGAGACTCGTTTACCTCGGTACTCGGAGCGCGAGGGTTATTCGCTCATCATCGATTAAAGCGTGCACAACGTGCGGACCAACGGCGCGCGAAAGACGAACGCTGTAG